TTATATTCCACGTGTAATAAAAAACAAGGTGAACTCGCGCTGCAGTAGGTCGACGTTGTGTAGATTGTTCGGTGATATTTCAACCGGCGTGTTGTACGAAAGGAGAGGCATTGTTTGATGCGACGATGTTTTGCAAAACGCGTGCCTTTGTTACGGTTTCTCGCGCGATTTGCTAACGCCGCCGTGGATGTGGAATATTATGAAAGCGAGCTTACGGAGGAGGGGGAAAGCAACGCGTCGTTCACGTAGCCGGCATATTTCATTACAGAACGATGAAAGTTGTAATTGATTGGCTTGATTTTACGGTCCACGGTTGTACGACGGCTAAAAAAGGACGACTAGGGGACAACCACGTTGTTTTGCCGTTTGAAAGCAAACATTGTCGGTTTAGCATTTTCTTTGAAAAGATGTAACAATTTCGACCGCCCTCCACGTGCGTAAAACATTATCAACGTACGTACTGTATTTATACATTTATTTTTCTTTTAATTTGTACCTGAAATTAAGAATTGAAGTATCGTGAAATATTTATATAATGGATAATTTTATTTGATCAATTTTGGTCATATTAATAGCATAAGTAAAGTCTTCTTATCTAGGAAGAATCTAGCCTACCTCTAATAATACCTAGTGTCTTATGATTAAAACTTCATTCAATGAAGATTAAAATTTCTATATGTAATCAAATCGATGTTTTTCGTACATCATATTCACCTAGATATTATAATTTAAAAGAATAAAAAGCTATCTCAAGCTACATCAAGTAGATTCATCTCCAAAGTGATTAAAATGACCAATCATTTTTCACGGGAATTTTGTAGCTCGTTATTTTCATGATAATTTTTCGCGAAACGTACGGATTAAATTTCGCGATATTCCTCGCGTTGCATTATAAAATTTTCGTTTCAGTTCTCTGATCCAAATTTCACTGTACTCCGTACGGCGAGTTCCAACATTAACGTTAAATATTTAATAACAAAAAAAAAAGAGACAAAAGAACCACGCCATTATAAAATTACTCGCCTGAACGAAGAGGAGGCTTTGAAAGACCCGCTGGCCCCTGCGAATCTCCCAATTGTTCTAACAATATTATTCCCTATTTTACAATTCAGATTCGCCATCGACACGTTTATCTGTTGTCGTTAGCTGTCGTTCCCTCCTCCTCGTGGACGCTTTTACAAAAGGTTACGATACAAATTGGAAAGGTCGCCGAGCGGTTTGCGATATTCGCGATTCATCTGGCGAGCACAATGCCATCAGGCAGCGGCGCAAATGCAACGCGGAGCCCCGCGTTCACTACCGATTTCTCTTTCAATTGAGTTTTCTTCGAGCGTTCCCATTGTCTGGGAGGAAATATCGGATCGAAAACTGGTTTCTTACGATCCTCCTCGTGGATCCAGCCCGGCCGTCTCGTTCTCTCCTTTCTGCCTCTCTGTCTCCTTCTCGTTCCCTCTGCTCGCTGAGAGAACGCGAGGGGCTGACATTTCACTCGCGAGCCAGCAGCGCACGCTCCCAGCAGATATACACACGTTTTCTTCTTAGGGTCTCGTAGCGGTGTAACGTGGATTCGTTGCCCTTTTGCCGCGAACGTCTTCGCGAACGTGGAAACCGAGTGTGATGAAAATCGTATCGATTGAATCGCGTCGTCGCGAAAGGGACAGAAGAGAAAGCTGGATCGTAAGATCTCTCTTCTGAGGGGGAGGAGGGGAGGAGGGGGAGATTCAGTTGAAATCAGAAAGCAGACGATCGTACATTGTCCCTTCCAGTTATTGAAATTTCAAACGTAAACATCTAAACGGGAGAGGGACAGATTCTTAACACTAAACTACTTTACCATAATCGATCAAACGACCGGTTATGAAATAAAGATCCTTTTACGAGAATAGTACAGCCGGTTTAATATTGGAAACAATGCACGGGCAACAACTTTTAATTACGCGCAAGAACAGTAATTACACGTTTTCAACTTTTTCATAACGAGAGTTAAATGAACGAAGGAAGTGGCAATGAGCGCAGAATTTGAAATCAAATTTTCAAACCGGGCGCATCGTTCGATCAGGTAAATTTTGAAACATTTGCAGTAATTGATCTTCGAGGTAGATTATTTCTTAGGGTCGAAAGTGATCGCCCGATGAGTTTTAATGTAAATGATTGTTCGGTAATTTAATTAGTTAATCATAATAGGAAGAAATATCATAATTCACAAATATCATTTCATTCCTATTTAAGCCCGATGGTTTCAAATGCACGTGAATAATATTTTAACAGAGAATCGAAAAATTTAAGTACGAGCTGAATTGACGGAACAGACGTCTCCTATATAATTTTTAACAACGAAATAATTTTTAAATTTTTTTCCCCCTGAAATTTCAAATTTCTATTTCAAACCTTCTGAAAGATTTATTTTTTCTAATTGTCTCTCGTTCCTCGACGACACGTAACTACCGCTTCTTCGTACGTTTTGGTGCCACCAAGTTTGACTTGCATAAAAATATTCACACACGCAGGTCTTAGTATGCCTGATGAAAAGGTTAAACCATTTACTCTAAATCAGATTGCGTAACGACGTTTAAATGTTAGAGGTTATTCAACGTTATGCTCGAGTTGTTTAGCAACGTCGATTACGGTTCACTCGCCGATTCAGAACGAACGAAAACTTGAAATGATGACGAGCTTGTTACGAGAAAGCGATGTAGAACGTCTCGTGAAGGAACAATGCGTTTTTTCGCTGGTCGTTTGCAAGTCGATTCAAATTTCTTGCGTGTCATTCGAAGTACAAGTAACTGAAGACAAGCTGCGCGAAGTTTCAAACAATCTGCGACATGGCGCAAGTTCGAAAGAACAATGCGAATTATGTGCTCCGCTAAAAGTTGAAGCATTTTCTCGCAAATGCAAGATCGGTATCGGAAGAATTTAAAGTTGTACACATCACCGAATGATACTTCGTACGTATAGAACGTGTTCAAATGCAAATTACGTGATCTCAATAGTAATCACACACAAACTGCCAGTACACACGGTAGAACTTGATCTTCTTTGCAATTTAAACAATTTTCGCATTTCAAGTGTGGCACAAATTACACAATCTATATACGAAATCGTGGCTTGACCTTCATGATTCAATACTTATTACGTAGATTGCGGGAAAGAAAGTGTTGCAGTAGAATAGTGAAACGATTTCGATTATTCTTTGTGTAAATATATGTGGATCGTGGAAAGAGTAGTACTGTAATAATTAAGCATAATTAAGCTATAATAATTATCATGGACAAAATTTGTATTTTATATTTATACAAATTCAAATCTTCGCGAACGAAGATAGAACGCGAAGGAAGATAGGAGCTAAGCTAAGATACTCATTGAATATTACTATTATTAAAAAAAAATTTCAACGAATGTTTTACGAGTCTTTCATAAAATTCACATACTACACTACACTACGCCGTGTCAGAGTATCAAAAATAAATTCCAGTATTATCAAAAGAAAATTCAATCAGAAAAATTTCGATCAGACGAAAATTTCCAAATTTCCCTCGCCATCTAATACAAACTGCGTGTTATTTTTCGACACCGCTACGATAACGACTTTCTCGTTGACCCTGAGAAGAGGCGTGGAAGAGACGCGGAGGGCCGTTCACGCGTTTGGAGGTCGCGCGTTTAAATTATACATTCCGTCTAAAAGGCCCGGTGGCGTCGATCTGATTCGGCGGTTCCCAAAACTCCAACTTTGAATTTCAATCCCGAAGCGGTCAAGGTCCGGGCCCCGAGATTCTACTCGCGAACGATCTGGGGAACGCGTCAATGCGCGCTGGCGCGATGTCTTTCGCGAAGAATTTCCTCTTTCCTCGAGAGGAATTTCTACGCGTTCTCGTGTCACGTCGCTGTCGATAACCTCTTCTCAGTCGATCCTCGAGGAGGAAACAGGCTCGTGAATATTTCTCGACCTGTCATCCCAGCTGGCTCCAAGGGGATTCGTCAGGCGGAAGCACGACGACGAGGTTCACCTTCAGGTGCACGTCCATTCGTCCGCCCGACTCTGCCCTTCGATCGGAGAAACTTCGCGAGAATTTTTGTCTTGCCGAGAGTCGAGTCTCCTTCTGAACCT